ATTTGCTAGTGGTAGTCAAGGTTAGATCTTGAAGAATGAGTGAGACCATGAAGAGATCAAGCTATTAGGTTCAAGTTAATTTTTATTTGAAATTAGCATAGGGGGATACTTTTGAAATATTATTATTTGCTGTTAGAAGTCAAGGTTAGACCCTGAAGGGTGGTTAAGTGATCAAGCTATTAGGTTTAGGTTAATTTTTATTTGAAATTAGCATAGGTGGATATTTTTGAAATATTATTTGCTGTTAGAAGTCAAGGTTAGACCCTGAAGGGTGGTTAAGTGATCAAGCTATTAGGTTTAGGTTAATTTTTATTTGAAATTAGCATAGGTGGATATTTTTGAAATATTATTTGCTGTTGGTATTTAAGGTAAGAGCCTAAAGAGATCAAGCTGTTGGACTCAAATTAATTTCTATTGGACGTTAGTATATTTAATGACTTACTAGCTCTAACCAGCTAGGTACAAGCTAGTTAGGTACCATCTCCAGGTCCTGAAGAATGCTAGTAATCTCAAGCTTCTGGGTCTTAGAGGTTAGATCAGGTTCAAATTTAGATGAGACACATTCTGAATATTTTCAGATTTCAGGAATGACTATATCTAAACCTTGAAGAGTTAATAGACTTCCTAGACTTTATAGGTTAGGTCTAGATTAGAGTATCAATCTCAAGTTCCAAGTCATTGATGTTAGGTTAGGTTCAAATTAGCTGACAACGTGACAAGTTCTGAATATTTTCAGATTTCAAGGTTGACTGTATCTAAACCTTGAAGAGCTAATAGACTTCCTAGGTCCTAGGTTAGGTCCAGATTACAGTGCCAATCTCAAGCTTCAGATCATATATGTTAGGTTCAACCTAATTCAAATTATCTGACAATGTGACAAGTTCTAAATATTTTCAGAATTCAAGGTTGACTGTATCTAAACCCTGAAGAACTAATAGACTTCCTATGTTCTAGGTTAGGTCCAGATTAGAGTGCCAATCTCAAGCTTCAGGTCATAGATGTTAGCTTCAACCTAATTCAAATTAGCTGACAATGTGACAAGTTCTGAATATTTTCAGATTTCAAGATTACTATATCTAAACCTTGAAGAGTTAATAGACTTCCTAAGTCCTAGGTTAGGTCCAGATTACAGTGCCAATCTCAAGCTTCAGTTCATAGATGTTAGGTTCAACCTAATTCAAATTAGCTGACAATGTTCTGAATATTTTCAGAATTCAAGGTTGACTATATCTAAACCTTGAAGAGTGCTAACAAACCCAAACTCCCATGTCCTAAATGCTAGGTTAGGTACAATACTAAGATCATACCGACATACACTTTGAACACTGTCAAAGATTCAAGATTCACTACTTCCTGAAGAGTGCTAGCAGACTCAAGTCATTTCATCCCAGAGGTTAGGTTCAGCAACAGTGATATATTTTACCGAAGGTCTGGAGAGTGTCAATAAACTCAAGGTCATAGTTCATCTTCTCACCACGACTATGTCCACATACTTTACATCTCTTCAACAACTACCTGAAGTGTAAACACATACTGCAAGAGAACGTTCCAGTAGAGGACGTTCAAGGTTCCTATCTGCGCAGATTCGCACCTAACTACGAAACTAACCTCATCCACAAATCTTGCTGGATCCACAAACCTTGCCAGGTCCACAAATTTTGCCACATCCACAAATTTTTGCCAGGTGCTAAATTCACAAACCTTGCTAAATCCACAAATTTTTCTCTATCCACAAAGTTTCGAACGAAAACTCCAAATAAGTGAACCTAAAAAAAAAGGTAAAAAGACGAACCTCTGCCGCGTTGTCGCCTGTCGCCCTGCCCGCACATCCCGTTGCCCTGTCCAGGGCAGTCGCCCTTGAACAGCACGTTCTCGCGTTCCTTCATCGCAACCGTATGTTCGGAACGATTCGGTCGCTCGAACGCCCGGATCCCGCCCGCGGGGCACAGCTGGTCAACGGGGCTGCCCCGATCGATGATCCCGCTTTTCACCGGATCATCGCACGCCACGTTCGCTGACATACCCGCGCTAATGACAACGTATCGGACACTGTTGGTGTACTCGAGGGTTGATGTCCATGAATGGGGCGGGGGGTGGCCCGGCGGGCGAAACGGTGAGCGCGCACGCGTCGAACCCACGCGATTTCGCTATATGTTGCTATAAGCGAGCCTTTTTTACACAGATACTGCGTAGGACTGATGACGCACGTTTCACGGGACATTTATGACCCGGTCCTTTTTTAAACTGGGGAATTAGGAGGTTCCGATCGGAGACGGATTTGAGGAGATGTTTAAATGTCGAGAGGCGAAGGTGGAGGTCGACTGGGAGGGTGAAGGTCGGGGGTGAGGGACGTGTTTTTATTTGGGGAGCATGGAAGAGTTTTTAATGGATTCGTAGACGGCTACAGGTTCATAGTTTGAAAGCTTATTATACATATATGTATACTATTTCATATGTTGAATATTTGTGGATTATTGATTTTATTGCTCTTTTTATCAGAGTTTTTATAATAATTTTTAAATAAATTTGAATAGTTTATTTTATACACTAATATTTATGTGTTATATAGTAATTAATATTTTAATTCCAATTAATTGTTGCTGTTGTTATTACTGTAATTAAGTATTGTTAAATTTGTTTTGCAATTGGAATATTTGTATGTGAATATATATTTAAGTATGTTAATAATTTGTATTTAATTTTAGAAAAATTGAGTTTGACTAAAAAAATAATATTTAAAAAATTGTGTATATGTATATGTATACATACATATTGTATGAACCTTCACATGAACCTAATTAACCTTGATAGTGTAACATATACAGTTATGTAACATATGATAGTATAACATATGTGATGTTTTATGATTCCTCATATGGTGCTATAATTAAACTTGATGGTGTAACATATGATGGTATATCATATGTGAAGTTTTATGAACCTTCACATGAACCTAATTAACCTTGATAGTGTAACATATACAGTTATGTAACATATGATAGTATAACATATGTGATGTTTTATGATTCCTCATATGGTGCTATAATTAAGCTTGATAGTGTAACATATGATGGTATATCATATGTGAAGTTTTATGAATCCTCACATGAACCTAATTAACCTTGATAGTGTAACATATACAGTGTATGTAACATATGATAGTATAACATGTGTGATGTTTTATGATTTCTCATATGGTGCTATAATTAAGCTTGATGGTGTAACATATGATGGTGTATCATATGTGAAGTTTTATGAATCCTCACATGAACCTAATTAACCTTGATAGTGTAACATATACAGTTATGTAACATATGATAGTATAACATATGTGATGTTTTATGATTCCTCATATGGTGCTATAATTAAGCTTGATAGTGTAACATATGATGGTATATCATATGTGAAGTTT